CAGATGGCAAAGTCAAGTTTTTCGGACAAAGCGTCTCTGAGACGATACGCACGTGTATCTCGAATGGTATGAGCAAGAAAGCTGACCGCGTCAAAAGCGAGTTCAAAGTTCCAGACAAACGGTCTGTCAACTGCGTGGGGTCCAGGGAGGGCTTTTAAACTTATGCTACCTTTTCAGATTTTGGTATCTCAAGTTGCACGCGCTTACAGCTATGCGGGATTTCGATGCACTAGATGCGTTTGCGCGTTCAAGACGGAGTCCTATTGGCTACGAGGCATTCGTAAAACATCTTGTCGAAGCTGGTCACTTGAGGGAAGCAGCGTCATACGTAATGCGATGCGATGGCCCAAAACGCGTGGGACTTTATGTGCTGTGCGAAGACTGGCGTGCGGCAGGCAGGGAGTGCAAGGAACGTGGAGATAAGAAAGGGATGGAGTGAGTATTTTGGCTATTATTTGCTATTTGTGGCTTATGGTGGTTGAAGACAACTTAGGAAGTCGTGTCCTAATTCCCTTATTGCCAGAGAGTTAGACCAGCTCATGGCATCGATGAAGTGAACCTTCTACTGAGTTCAGGACATGCTGTGTATTGTAAGGGAATGTCCGGCACTAGGTATTACTTCTATGCCGTACCCATCAGCCGGATTTGTTTTACCATGGCACGTGCTTCGAGTACCATAAAACAGGTTTTCTTTCCCCAAGAACTGAGAGTTGCTCATTGAAATATCTCTGTCGCCTGTGCAAGATCGATCGTGCCGTGTCCTCGTCGGCAAATCGTGAACCGGGGCCAGTCTAATTTACAAGGGTCGGAGTGAAACAGGAAAGTCTAAACTTATGGGACCATGACATGATCTTGTGCCTAGACTAGAACCATCTGTCACGGAAGATAACAATCACTGCCAATAGAGATTGCTTTAGAGAATACAATACAGTTGTTGGTTGGCCAATACTTACAAGATATCTGGATACGGAGAGAATCATTCGCAGCCTTGGCCTTTGAGTGGCTGGCAACTGTCCTTACGTTACATGAGAACGTATGTAATCAGATCAGTGATTACATAATAATTAGTGAAGTAATATTGAGGTCAGGAGCTGTCCGGAGTCGGTAAACAAGGTTTGCCGGATCGCTAGCAGGTAAACTATACCTTCTTAAGTTCGGCTTAAGTTTATCGCTCTCCTTTTCTTTCTTCCCCTTACTTCATTCTTGTCTATCGCCATGTATGTGTTTCATTTACTCGTCTATTACCTGTGGCTGACTTTCTTAGGTCGGGCGTGGACCAGCAGACCGCGAAGTCTGCTACAACAGCCACTTTCGTCACTGCCCTTGTATTCAATGCTGCAGTCTTTGGAATTGAGATTGGCCTGTTCACGATACTACGTCCTTACTTCAAACAAGTTTATGAGCGACGCACACTAGCTCCGGTTGAAAAGTATGCGTTCAAATATAGCCTCATGCTACTAGACGGCTCACGTTCTGTTCATCCAGAGACCGTGTCAAACCTTTCGAAGCTGGCTTTTTAACTTGGCCTATTGCCCTATTCAAGACAGACTATCGTGATGTTCAACAAGTCAACGGACCAGACGCCTATCTTTTTGTTCGGTTCTTGCGGATGATGATTCGCGTCCTTCTACCTATCTGGTTTATTTCTTGGGCCGTGCTGATGCCAGTCACCTCTGTCAACAATTCTACCCCCAACAGCACAGGACTGGATCGCTTCATCTTTGGCAACATTTCTAAACCACACAATGATAGATTTGCCGCTCACATTATCCTTGCATACCTCTTTACTTGTGAGCCTGCTCAACAGGTTTTTATGAGACCTCTAAATTTGACCGTCTTCACTGCTAGTTTGGATTTACTGGAATATCAGGCGGGAAATGCAACACTTCACCACAGTTCGGCAGCTGCACCTCATCAATCCTGCTCATTCCAGCTCTGTGCAAGCAAACACGATTCTTGTAACCGGTATTCCTACGAAATATCTTTCTGAGCCCGCGCTTCACCAGTTGTATTCCCACCTTCCTGGTGGCGTGAAAAAGGTGTGGCTCAATCGGTGTGTGCCTCTACTTTTTTTCGTTTTTTATCGTTTCTCGTACTTGTCTATGTAACTTCTCACGAGTATTGGGCCTGCCCAGTGACTCCGGTCACTCTTTTACTTCTATTCGTCTCGCCTTGCATACGACAGCTGTATTTGACCTTTGAACTTCTTAGGGATCTGAAGGAGCTTCCCTCTATCCACGACCGTCGCCTGGCTGCTTGCGGAAAACTGGAGTCTGCAGAGACATCACTGCTTTCAACGGCCGCTAAACTTCGACGGAAGGCATTAAAGAAGGCCAACGGCGCTGGCGATCCATCCCCTTCAGCAGATCCTGAGCGTAATGTGGCTTTGGCGGAACGTCTGGTTCCTCGGAATAAGCGGCCTTCGCACCGTCTTCCAGCCGGTTTTATGCCTTTCTCACTCCCTTTCATCGGCAAAGAGGTCGACACGATCGATTGGTGCAGGCAAGAGATCGCTGCTACTACAGGATTGTTGACTCAAGGTCGCCAAACTCTCGCCGATCAGGGCCGTTCGTTACCAGAAGATGTTAATGGTGATGGAAAGGTGGACAAAAATGACCGCGCCAAACAACCTTATCCGCTTCTCAATTCCGCATTTGTCACTTTCAACCAACAGATCGCTGCTCACCTTGCAGTTAACGCCTTGACTCACCATGAACCATACTGCATGGCCGACCGGTACCTCGAAGTATCTCCACCTGATGTGATCTGGGGTAACCTTGGCCTTAATCCGTATGAAAAGCGCATCCGAATGGTAGTTAGCTATAGCGCCACTGCAGCTTTAATCATTTTCTGGGCCATTCCCGTTGCCTTTGTTGGTATCATCTCCAATATTGAAGGCCTTTGTGTTCGCGAATCATGGCTCGCTTGGTTATGCAAGCTGCCAAGCCCTGTTATTGGAATCATACAGGGTATTCTACCCCCCGTATTACTCGCCGTCCTCATGATGCTCTTGCCAATTGTCCTTCGTCTACTTGGACGATTCGAGGGTATTCCGACGCGCACAGGTCTCGAATTGAGCTTGATGACTCGGTACTTCATTTTCCAAGTAATCGTAAGCATTTCATTGTTTATAAACGGTGAGCAGTTTTGCTCACGGTATCTAGCACTCGTTCTTGATCGTCACGTTGAGTTCGGGCATCTTTGCGGCTCTCCCATCAATACTCGCAAACCCCAGTTCGATAGCTGGTCTCCTGGCTCAATATTTGCCTCAAGCGTCGACTTTCTTCCTGACGTAAGTCATCTTTGTGAACTTACCTAGACAGTCGCTCATTATGATATCCAGATACATTCTTCTTCAGGGTTTATCTGGCGTAGCTGGCGGATTTTTGAGTGCTGTTGGGCTCATCATTTACTACGTCAAGCTGTTTATCCTTGGCAGCACGCCACGCGCTGTTTATAATATCAAGTATGCACCGACAACTGTTGCTTGGGGAACATTATTCCCGACTATAACTCTTCTTGTCGTCATCAGTACGTCTGTTCGCGGCAGTTCACACCAAGCGTATTGACGGTTTATCTCAGCGTTTGCTTACTCGATCATCTCCCCTGTGATCAATGGCCTGGCATGCTTTACATTTTTCCTTTTCTATCTCCTCTACAAGTACCTCTTCCTTTACCAGTACACGCAGCCACCCTCGGCTGACACAGGAGGCTTGTTCTTCCCGAAGGCGATTCAACACGTGTTCATTGGGATGTATGTGCAGCAGATCTGTCTCTGTGCCTTGTTCTTCCTCGTGGAGACTCCGGACGGGAAACGAGGCGCGCTTCCAGAGGGCGTGCTCATGATCGTGTTGATCGCTCTCACCGTCGGCTACCATGCCATCATCAACAGCTCCTTTGGTCCGCTCACCAAGGCTCTTCCACTCAGTCACGCGCACCAGACATTCAAACATGATGTTGATGGCGGGTCAGGCTCAAACCGCAAGGAGACCGTTGAAGAGACCGAAGAGGGACCTTCGCCGACTGACGAACCTCGCGCCTCGTCCTCTGAGTCAGGGGCCGAGCATGCTCCGCGCAGTGACTATGACGATGTATTCTTTGCGCGCGGGCCAGACGGTGCAGAGGATTATGGATTTGTGCAACCGGCTGCGTGCCTCCCACAGCGCATCGTATGGATCCCCGATGATTCGCTCAGTTTGGGCCGTGAGGAGGTCCAGACGAATAAGGAGTCGAGCGTCAAGGCGACCACCCAAAACGCGAAAATGGATGAGCACGGGAATGTGGAGGTGACGGGTCCCCCTGTCGACCTTGCAAAGTTCTGAGAGATGTTGTGGAGTAACTGAGGTTGTTTTCTTTTTTTTCTTTTTGGCTCGCCTTCTTCCCCACGTCTTGTCAAATGCGGTATCCATCTTCCATCCAGCTTCTTATGCTGTACATTGCACTTCACGCTGGTCATACGATAAATATTCACGTCGTCATATCTGGTGCTTCATTCAATCATGTCAATTATCGTCAGTTTCATCTATCCTGAATACCCCTTGTCCCAGTACATAATCTTGTTATACGTTTACGATCGTCATGTTGCAATTCAGTACTTGAGTAACTGTGAATCTGTAGGTTGAACCGTTGAAAATATCATAGTTCAATTTTCCGAGCTGCCATGCTGTCAAGTAGTCCGATCATGCGCTGCTTCGGTATGAAGACCAAGCACAGGAAACATGAGGCCAGAAAATGCAAGAATGTAGGCGAGCCAGAGGTAGTGAGCTACTTGGAGGTAGCGAGGATGAGATCGGGTACGTCATGCATTGTGGATGGGGACTGGATTGGATTTTTACATACACTTGTGCGCAGAACTGACAAAACGAAGCACCCTATCATAATCGAAACAACCGCAGCCTGACCTAAATCTCTGCAGTAGTTGAACGATCAATGCGTTGTCCGCAGGCATGGCTTGAGGCGACCGATATCCTTCAGATTAATTTGTCCAAGTGTGCCTGCCCATAACTGCACATGTGGCTATTACATCGTAACGGCGCCTACGCGGCGAGTCCCCGATTCCATTTTTGCACGACCCTCGAACCCTTTCCTTAAGTACATCCCTTCACTCACTCTTCCAAAGCTCACAGACAGTTGAATGCCTGAACGATGCGGCCTCTTTAGTGACCACGCCTTCGACTGAGAGGAACCCGACTTGGGACCTTGTCGTATCGCACACCGAGTAAAACCGCTCGCTATGGAAGAACAGTTCAGCAATTTATTTTCACGGAAAATGTGACTGGACGTACAGGAAACAGTAGCCGTTCGTGAAATCCAAGCCAAAGAACACTCCAAGTACTTCCGAACTAATCGTTCTGGTCCCGATCCAGGTATCTGAGCTTGTGGCGTCTACGAAGAGTGTGTCTGTATGAAATCAACGTGTCAGATAAAGAAATGGTAGGAGCACGAGCAGCTTACAGTACGTTAGTGGACTGCCCACGCCGAAGCTGCGATGTTCTTGAATCCCATACGAGTTTATTCTAACAGCGAGCTTAAGAATAGCCGTGCTTGGCGCTGCGCGAGGATGAAGAGAAGCGCTCACTGACAATGAAAGGAAGGCAAGTGCTGACAGGGCAAGGAGAGATGAAAGCGATCTGGAGGGAATCGTCTTTAAAATGGGACTGGTTCAATGCTCTGCATCTGTAGCACGAGTCTGAGTACCTGATGTGGCCACTACTGGACTTGCCAGGCTGCGGTCAGCCTTTGATTGGCAAGCCATCCACGTCAGGATGCCCGAAGGTCTGAGTAGTTTAAACCAGGGGAGACAAGACGACATTCAACGCGAGAGACTCAAAATTGAAGAACATGGTCATGTGGGAAGGATGAACGAGAAAGCCCGAACAAAGCGACCCGGTAGAGTCGGCAGAGGTTTTAGGAGACGGTCCGTAACCTATCGATTATCATCCACCATAGAAAACTAGGGGTCGGCGTTGCCGACTATTTACCTTGCTCCGGCTTCCACCGAGTTTTCTGAGTTCTCGTCCCCAATTTTATTTATGCAAACACCAATACTACTACACTCCATACTTAGAGATACAAGTACATTTATCGGAGAACTATGACTTAGTCTTTCGAACCACTTGCTTCAGTCTCATGGTGCATTTTTTCTTCTTTGGTTGTTCTTGGTTGTCGTTGACATGTGGGCGTTTGTAGTTAATGTTGTGGTGGACCGCACCCAGTCTCAGGATTGTTACGCGTTCCACGGCTACTTAAGGGTCGAAATGTCAGAGATTCAACCAATGATCGCGCCGCAGGAGGACGGCTATGTCACAAGTCCAGCGGTCGTCAATCCTCAGCACCCCTCATCGCTCGTCAGCACGCTCTCGCAGGAGGCGCTCTCCCAGCGTCCGGTGATCAGAGTGCTAGCTCTCTCGTGTACTGTTTCTGGTACACTTCCAGAAGAGTAGGAAGTCGGTGAAGGCACGCTCAGAAAATCCAGTGGGGCGAAGTTCTCGTTTGCCATGGAGGACGAGGGCATGATGAGGGAGTATGACGTGTCATGGTAGACCCGGGCGTCCAATAAATTGTACTCAGAATATAAACATTGATGCTCGATGCCAACGACGTAAGTTGTCAGACGTAAAGTAAGTGGAATCAGCTCGTCATTCGCCAAAATGGTCCAGTCAGTAGTATGAAAAATAGATATCAATACAATAGAATACAACTCAGCCAGGTTGCATGGTAACACGCTTTGCGTGAATAGCAGCCAAGTTGGTGTCCTCGAACAATGAGATGAGGTATGCTTCAGCAGCTTCTTGAAGAGCCATCGCAGCAGATGATTGGAAGCGCAGGTCGGTCTGGCAAAAGCTATCAGACGCGAATACAGACACAAATCATCCGCTGCTTCTACGTTACCAGAACCCGACACATTTTTCCCTGAAAAGGAGCACGGAGAATGGTCGTGCTTGAGATCGCACCGAATTGAAGGGAACCAAACAAACGGCGCCAACACGAAGATCAACGCCAGTGATCCCTCCATCGCAACTACGGGGCTTGCAAGACCACGGTCAGGTCTATAGAAAGCAAACCGCGCACGGTCAGCGCACCTTTTCAGGCCTGAGAAGCTAGGAAGGGATCCGAAACATAAAAAGACGGATGGCTCGAAGATCAACTGGTCCCTCCGTCGCGACTACGGGGCTTGCAAGACCACGGTCAGGTCTGTAGAAAGCAAACCGCGCACGGTCAGCGCACCTTTTCAGGCCTGAGAAGCTAGGATGGGACAAAAGGACTCATCACACACTGACATCTTATATATGTTTGCTAACCGTTCGATCCGCTCAGCTTGGGCCCGATTCGCATCCGACAAACATGGCAACAGTTTTAAAAAGGAAGGATGAGGATTGAATATTGAATATTGAACGTTGAACGTTGAACCACGGCGTCGACGTCACGGATGTGGCCGTGCGAGTCTGCGAGACTTATTTTGTTTTTAATTCACACGGACTATTGCTTACATTGGCACATATTTACCAACATGTGAACATGACCTTGGCAAGTTGCGGAGCAAGGTAACATCCAGCCTGCACCTACAAGAAAATCTGCAAGTGCAGGAATTCCTTTAATGATTGCCTCCTTTCTCTCGAGCCTGCCCAGTGCCCATGCTGACCAATATTCTTTCTGTCAACCCAGCTGCGTGTCACTGATATTCATTTCTTACATCCACTGTTATGGTTATTTCCCAATACACTCTCCTGCATTATCCCACTCCTTCGTTTCCTGTCTGTTTATCGTCAGTGAGTTTTCATGCTTCCCAAGCCTGCCCGCTTATGTCGTCAGAAAGAATGTCTCATGTCCCCGTGACTTTGTCTCTGCAGATCGCAAATCGTTCTTATATTCTGCTGCCGATTGTGTCTCAGCGTCTCCAACCTATCTTGATCTCTCATCTCTCGCTTGCCACCAGTGCCCTCGTTCTTGCTGAGTCAGTTGAGCTTCTTCCTTCCTTCACTCACTTTCTATCTTGTTGATATTGACTTGGGCGTCAGGTATTGTGCGTTCTTTCAAGAATGCCGCCGTTTTTGTGCAGTAACAATGGTGTACGGTCCAGGATTAAATGTATGCTTCGTGCAAGATAGAGCTTGGTTACAAAGAATTGCCAGAGACGTCGGATGAGCTGATCAGATGGCAAGGGATGCTAGGAATGGAGGTTTATTCACAGGTTAGTGCAGGACCAGTCTTAACAAAGAGAGAAGGACATTGATTATAGATACTAAGACGATGAGGCTATTGAGAAACGGTGTTTGTCGGCCGAGCCGGGGATTGGCGCACGCGCCGCTACAATTGAGTCAAACAGTGATCTTCCGTCTACGACATCGCCCCCTGCTGAAGGGCAGTCGGCGCCTAGTTTTAGTCTTGACAGTCCTATCGACGATTGGATAACGTTCTCTTGTCTCTCTTACGGGAGCTCTCGTGAATGACACCAAGATCCTAATTCTTGACGAGGCTACGGGTAAGTCTGATATCTGCCCTGGTAGTGGATTCATTCTCATGGATTTCTATGTAGCTTCCGTCAATTACAAGACCGACAGCAAGATCCAATATGCCATTGTTAACGAGTTTAAAGAATGCACAACCCTGCATTGCACGTAAGTTCGAAAAGACTTGTCACTTTGCATTGACTTAAAGCAAATATGCAGATCGTCACCGGACTATCATTGGATATGACAGGATATGTGTGATGGATGCTGGGACGATTGCTGTACGTCCACATGTCTTTAAGTTGTTCTATTCCGTACTAACCATTCATTCCGGAATTGTTAATATCTTCGCCATGCCAGATGGTATATTCCACGGAATGTGCGAATGATCTTCTATCACTCTTGATAAGCATGCAGCGTAATGTCTCATACGTAGACTATAGACTACATACAGATTCAAGTACATCTATATCATTTCTGCGTGAACACCGTAATACTGCTCAGCTGAGCCTCTGTCTCATTAAGCTATTCGCGAGAATGCCGCAGACTGCAATTAGAGCTGATTAACAATTCGCACAGCACATGCACCCGCGATACTCGGCAGAGTCGGAGTTGATGGCTTTAAGTGGCTCGGGCGTGGGCAGGACAAGTATTTATGCTGCAACTTGAAGTGGACACTTTGAACTAGATCGGCCAGAAAATTGACTAACGTCGGTTGATTCTCGAACGACGATTCACTGTTCATCCAGCTGTGAAAACCCGTGAGGTTAAGCAACAGCCTGAACGGTTGGTTGTTTATGCGATAAAACCAGTACCCACATGCACATTGCATACTTAGACGATACATACTACATCGAGCTTGACCCCTAGTCCAGCCTCGTCATGGTTCCTCCGCGAATCCAATAATTCATCTGCAGAACCTTGCTGGCGAAACGTCTACCAACCACTGTGGCTCTCTGCCCATGAACCTAGTGAGTTCATCAACCTGTTTCTGAGTAGGGCGCCGATGATAACTGTCTGGCTGGTCGTTGAAGATGTACAGCACGAGACCGAAACCATCAACTATGTATTCCGCTGGAACTGCCTGTCCGGGAGGCAGGATGGCATATGCCGTTGACAGCGATTGAATGTGGAAGGTCTTTTTGAAGCTGTAACTGGGGTTCACTCTGGCGTTGGTCCTGGCCTTGGTTTCGGAAAGGTCAGGATGTAGCTTGGCGAGGAGGGAACAAGCAGCCTCATAAAGGGACTTCTGAGATATGTAGTAACCGTACATTTGAGCATTACGTTGCGGAGGTGGAAGGGTTATATTGATACGGTTTGGCTTGGACGGTTTGGTACGTCCAGAATCGCGCTGCTCGTCTTGCTTGGCTTCACCAAGCTGCGCAAGAGCAATTGAGAGGGATATCAACAAACAACACCTGGACACACCTGCATGCTAGACATCGCTCCATCAAGGCTTTGTAATTGTTGAGACATGTTCAAGATGAATTACCTTGCAAAGCAAGGTCAATATTATATAGACTTTTTGTGACGCAAGAACATGTGATAAGTATGCCGAAAACAAACTCGAAACTCCATGATTACAAATACATATGACGACAAAAAACGTGATGTTCGCACTATGATATCATGAGGGACTGGACCTTTCAAAAACTTTGCTCGCGTGGTGAAAACATTATATATGGTTTGTATTCTGCGCGCCGAGGAACGAGGCAAGCGCAGAATTTAGTCTATGTGAACTACTAGGCAGTTTCATGCACACTTGTACGTATACTATGGACATTGTGTTCGGCCGATAATACAATATTGGTGAGAATGATGTATGTAAAAAGAATTCAAAAAATGATAGTCACGGAGCTCAGCACTGGTGAAGCCACCCTGAATAGTATAAATGTGATGGCGGCATTAATCAAAAGGAGACAAAGTTCATTGAAGGTTTGAAGAAAGTTTTGAAAGGCAAAATCACGGCACAAGCCATCCCGCCCTTCTTTAACTGCCTGAACTGCGGCAAATCTAGGTGGAGGTCCAGTGCACAAACATCGTTCTGCTTGAGAACAGCAAGAGCAGCGGTCTGAAAGCTACCCTGCTTGAACCTGAGATTTAGATGAGGGTTAATGTATAGTGATCATTGAGACAGGCTTGCTTACATGTGACTAACCGCTGTCGACGACACATCAATGTTCTTTGAAATGGTAGGGTGAACACTCCTTATAATATTGTATGTTGGTCAAATGTCCGTCACCACAGTTCTAAACCTCCACCCAGGGTCTGTATCCCGGCGTCTAAATTAACAAAGCACGAGGGAGCCGCTAATTATGAAAGTGAGCATATATGCGTACAGGACCTGATTGTAAACATACCTTTCACAGCAGCGGGGTTCTGCGTGAGTGTAGTGAGCGTTGTAGTAGCTTCGTACTTTACTGTGTGTGACGATGAAAAACATGCATCTGATATATTGGGGCTGCAACGACAAAAAGGACTTACTCCATGCGTCGTGTCGTTCTTAGAGTACAAGAAACAATGCACACGTGAATCCGTCGACGATAGATGGTGGAAGCTCGGTGCTGAATGACATGGATGGTGGAGCACGAAAGATGGGGGAACACTAAGCAGAGAGCCAGAAAGTGATGGCCGTAGCACCATCAGTGTCGTCATCTTCGAACTTGATGCGTTGCGATTCGTATGCTGTGAGCCATTCCTGAAGTTGCTGAATTCGAGTTTCGGAGGGAGTGCTGGCACTTGGCGTGCACATATATCCACCCTATCAAGATATTCGAAAGATCAGCGTGGGGTAAACAGGTCGAAAGACGAGAACACGCACATACTGAGAGCAGGACGTAGCCAGAGCACCATCAGCGTGGGGTAATCAGGTCAAAGGACAAGAGCACGCACTTTCTGAGAGCAGGATGTGGCCAGAGCACCATCCCGGGGTCTTAATGAGCTGTCAGAAGATATCTTTAGTATGTACTATCTTTTATTTCTGTACGAGTCTCACTCTTATTCAGGCATACTATCTAAGCCGTGTTTTCTTGGTGATATGTTAACACTACTAACTTTGTGCGACAAGAACAGAGTGTACGTATCGTTGGCGCCATCATATGTGCATGCTGAGGACCACGATGAGATTGTTTTCTATGAGGGCGAGCGAAGCTATGCAAAAGTCGCTGGTGCTATAGCGGATGATTGCAATGTCTTTTTCTACCGCGGCATACTATACAACATACCAGCCAACACCAATTCTACCCCACCCTTCACCTGCATCACAAGCGGGCGTTACATTAGTGTTTTCAGCAGTGAGTAAGTTACAGATTATCTCAACATCTCAGCATTCACAATTGCTCTTTCCAGAGATTATGTGCCCATGGTGGAAGGAATCGCGGATGCTATTTTTTTTGAGGTTGAGTCGCTCGAGGTTGGAGAGAGAGCATTAAGGAATGCGATTGAAAGATCTCCTGGACAGATCCCTGCGATAAGAACTATCATTCATTAGTACTTAGTAGCGAGCCCATGCGTTGTTGGCCATATATCCTAGATCTGTTTTTGTTCGTTCTCACTGTGATAAGGAAGTTTTTGAGGGAATTGAATATGCGGGTCTTCAGCTCATTCAATGTTGCCGCACTGCTACGAAGTTGCACGCAGATTCACGCACGGACAGCTATACACTTCACTTGCGAGGACGTAGAGACATTTGAGCACATTTCCAAGAAGGACATGAAGAGACAACTGCTAATCATGTAGTGTATAAACATCTGTTAATATAAATCATTGCGCAACCGTCCAAAGGAGAGCAGAACGCTTGTACTAAGAGTTGTACAGAAGTCCCAGCCATAGCAACAAAGAAGATGCGTGCACAGATAGCCTTTCAGCACGTTGGGCAAGCCATACATTTGATGTGCGATGTGAGAGGTGCCGAGCTCGAGTTTCCGTATGAGAATGATTGCAGCGGTGTCGTGGCATCAATATGACTTGGAAGTCCGTCAAGTGATAAGGGCATTGAACCTGCACGAGCGGAGTATGGGTGCGTAATGAGGATGTTGGTAATTGTAGGATGCGTGAAGGAGGGAGCGACGCAAACCTAAGAAATGGAGGAAAAGACTGGAAGATGGGACTGTGAGATAGCGCGTAAGTGCTCACTTGCGGTTCTTTCTCCTTCTCTCCTTTCCAATCCCTCGCTCTCCTTGCAATCGGTTGCCGTCGCATTGACGTGGGTCGGCGTTGTGCGGCGGGTGCTCAAGCCTCGAGTGGTGTTGTGGCAGTGGGCGTTTGTGGAGGATGGATGTGTGAAGTAGGTGCTAGTGTAGGTGGTGAATGCAGGGGTGCCCTGAACGAGGCATGATTGTGCGTGAGTGTGAGTGTGAGTGTGAGAAGAGCGGGGTGGGTGCTGGTGAGCGTGGCAGGTGGGTGGTGCTGAGACGGAACGCGAGTGTCGAAAGGACAGAAGTGACGAGTCGAATGAGAATGGGGGTGACGAACCGAACGAGCGTAGTTGTACCATATGATTTGGTACATCAAGTTGGCCAGTTTTGATGGCAAGAATGGCAGCCAGAGATGAAGTATCTTAAATTGAAGTTGTGGGTCGTGCCCTACCGGTGCATCGCAATACACGCGTGTCACAGCAAACAGATGCGGGGCACACAAGATCTCACGCAGATCTGTCTTGTAGTGTGCCAGATCTCACACAGATCTACCCTAGGGCCTGAACTGTTCGCATGAGTGACGCAGCAAATAAATGCGGATTACCAGCACAACCAAGTGCATACAGAATGCAACTTCTCGCCATTCGTAGACAAGAGCAAACGGTGATCGGACTTCAAAATAAGTCGCGGCAAATCGGCAAATCGAACCGTAACCTACCGTCAGGGCTATATCGAATATATATATACTAGTCCACACCCGTTCTGCCTTCGGCACAGGAAGCAAAAAAGAGTGCGAAGCACTCTTTTTTTAGCTTCCTGGCCTCAGCTTCATCCCAATAATTCAGAAGGCTCCTGATGAGCATTGTTCCTTCGTCACAGGAAGCCAAGGAGGGCTGCGCCCTCCTTTGGCTTCCTGGCCTCAGGCTGCATCCTAATAAATTGTGTATTTTGAATAAGAGGCACATTTATGAGCACCATTTGAAAAAACTAAAAGTACAATCTACCACACCATGTAAAAGTACATAGTACATTACTGTACATAAGATCAGTCAGTTCTACATTATTTGAGCAGGATTTTGACAAAAGTAAAAATACAATCTACTACACAACATAAAATTACAAAATATGTAACAGTATCATTGAATGTATTCATTTTCCCACTTTTCTGTGCCTCCCGTCTCCCGTCTCCCGTCTCCCGTCTCCCGTCTCCCGTCTCCCGTCTCCCGTCTCCCGTCTCCCGTCTCCCGTCTCCCGTCTCCCGTCTCCCGTCTCCCGTCTCCCGTCTCCCGTCTCCCGTCTCCCGTCTCCCGTCTCCCGTCTCCCGTCTCCCGTCTCCCGTCTCCCGTCTCCCGTCTCCCGTCTCCCATCCTCTGGTTCTCCCAGTTTCCCATTCCCATTCTCCATTTTTTGAGTCTCTCAGTGGTCTTTTTCTCCCTTTCATTATTTTTTCATTACCTTCTGTCATTCATCCCCCAATCTCTTTTATTTCATATTTGTTTTCCCATCTGTAATTGTATTATATGTTGTTCTGTTATTTGCTGTATGTATACAAATACTATCATAACAATTACAGTAGGGAAAAAACTCAAATATAATCACATATCTGCCTTGCCTGGACCCTGCTCAAACACATCTTTTTTTCATTATTTAATGCCATGTACATATACAGATACCAAGGTCATGCTAACTTCCCAAAGGGCGACACTATTTGAGTCGGCGCTCGAAAACACGTGACAAAGCCACGCGAGTTTCCAAAAAGAGGTTTAAGCGAGGTAAGCGACATAAGCGAATCTAAGCGCATCTAAGCGTATCTATGCGAAAGCCACGCGAGTGCCCGAGCATTCCCGAAACCGTCGCACTTTACTTCTTAGATATTATTGAATTGTAATGGTGCTTGCGCACCAGTCCCCGACTCCTGATTCCGGCCTGCTCGTTCCAGAATGTGGTTCAGATACACGAGTGCAGTAAATATTACATATGCAAGATGATGCGTACTGTAAGAATCACGAGGTGGTCAACACATCCCATCAAATCGTGTGCAGGTACTGAACACCATTGGATCATCGAATGCTCGTGTCTGTGTAACAACTAGGGAGGCTAAAGAGAATGATGCACTTCTGCCGGTCACACCAGCTGCGAAATGCAAGGCCAAGTCTATCAACCAATCCAACAAGTAAGATCTTTCCGTCGAGTTTCAGCTACATATGAGAGGCTCACAATTCATAGGAAACAAAAACGCAGTTGAGTTTTGAACAATAATAATATTTCATATACCCTGGTCAAGGTTTTCATAACAGCTGAGCTCGCTGCATGGAGAGATGGAATGTGTTGAATGATTTTCATTTCAAGTAAGAATCTTTTGTATTTACGATATAGTTTCTGTATGTCTAAAATATAAGTGTGAACTTGCTTCTTACACTGCACTCATTCTGTGCCCTATAAGAGGCTTCAGGAATTAGTTTGAGTTTGTTTGTTCATTTGTTCAATTTATGAGTTAAGAGGCAGCTGGGCGTAGATTGCAAGGAAAGACGAAGTAGATAGTCAAGTCATTGATATAATGCAGGCAATACTAGATGGGGTGGGCTGGAATACTGGACTTTGGGGTGAAAGTAGAGGTGACAATGGAACCGCTTCTCATACCCAGCACAAGCAGCTTGCCCTTGAGACAAGGACATTGTAAAATGGTCAAGATGTTAACATGATCTCGAAAGAAGACACAGATAATGCATGATGCTCGCAATGTTCATGCCCAAGAAATCATTCAAGCAAGGCATATGTGCCTCCTTGGCAAAGAATATGTTGTTGGCGAGGTTCTGCATGACCTTTGCTATTACCATTAGACCCCGGCGGATGACTCCGCTGTCATCTCTGGGCACCGTAACATCAACAATCTCAGGAGCGACAATCGCGGAAGAAATAAATCTGCACAGAATTTAGCACCACTTGGCTTGCTGAAATGTATGAACTGACTGAAGAAATATGAATGCGCCAAGGGCAGCGAACTTCGATTCCGGCCAAACTTGATAACTAAAATTTCATCAGTCATCGCTCACGCCTCGAGAAGGTAAAACCACTTATACTGATTTTGCAAGGTGAACGCAAACTTCTCGAATCATTCTGAAAAAGATTTAAGCAAACAGCGGACCCATAGTTGCATGGTCACACACGGTGGTAGGGCATGGACCAAGGAAGTGATGATATCCAGGAAAGACAAGGCAACCAGCTCGACATTCTTCTAAATTGGTTTCACCTTGTCTCGGTTAGCCTTGGCGGGGAGTGCCCTGCTACCCAACACCTCAAGAAGCTCTACTGTTGGTGGAAAATGCGGAGCGAGCATCGAGTGGAAGGACTGCGAAGATGCAATAATAAGGAGGCCCTGCGATATATATGAGTACTTTGGAAAGGTGAACACAAACGCACTTAGTCAGTCGTCGAATAACAAGAAACTAAATGACAAACAGTTGGAAAAAAAATCAGGCTCCGAATTGCTTGAACGGCCACAGGTGGAAGCAGGGCTGAAAATTTTTGGGAGATATGGTGGAAGGAAGACAGTGCGATGCCATGCGGGAACAAGTTGTGATATACAAGTTGCTGCAGATAAGTGCGGATGTTGCGGGTCAATGTGAATCAATCTGCAAAGGAGCTGAATATAAAAATAAGCATGATAGGTAGTGGAAAGAACAAAAGACGGGGACAAAAGGTCATGGTACGAGTTGAAGGTACCCTATTATATAAACTAAAGGGTGACCTATTCTGGTGTCAGTAATTTAATGCATTACACTATCCATCATCGTTAATGCAATACAAGAGTCTTGTAACTACCCTGTATTAATGCATTATAGGGACAGGATCACCTGTATCAACATCCACACTCTATGCCGCGTCAAGGCCTCCTACAGTGCTGCATCAACCATAGCACATACCACGTCAGTTGCCGTGTCAGTTGCCGCATCAAACCTCCTCCATGCCGCATCAGTGCCGCATCACAGGCGCGTCATGCCGCGTCAAACCTCGTCACTGCCGCATCAAACTTCATTCATGCCATGTCAGACCTCACCACCTCCACACGCCGCATCAAACCTCACCACCTCAACTGTCACACTGTCCGTATAACTTAGGTATATTTTATTTTAGATCTGTCATAATAATTGATATTCTAACAGTGTTCTTTTCACTTATGTGCCCCTCATGATCTTCGGAAGTGTCGGATGTTTCAAAAAAGAGTGGGTAAGGAGATGGGGTGGCGGGCAGAGTTGAAACCATGCAGCATTCCAGTGAGATGTTAGGTGGTGGCGGGATTGATTGAGATGGCCATTTGAAACATTGAGTGGAGTTTAAGTTCTGCCTGGAGGTGAGATCTAGACTTTGTCCCGTACTTTGTCCCAGGCTCTACACTGTTTTATTATCAATCCCACAATCATGGCAAATGTTAACACCGATCTTGGATTATATCTTGCCATCAGTGCCGCCGTCAATGACCCGAGCCAGAGGGAATGCCCCTGGTACGAAGTCTGGGACATCTGCTTGAACCAATACCTTTTCGCAAACTCAAATACCCAAACAACAGCATGTTCAACAATCCCTCAATATTCACTCATCTGGACGTACGACGTAGATGCCGATCATAATACTACACCATCCAGCCATCCATCATCACCCACTAATGACCATATGCAAGTATCTCCCCCACTTCAGCATCTTCAACCTTCCAGACGCTCTGTTAAGATACCTGATTTCGTTCAAGTGCTCCGTCAGGCCATTCAACCACTGGAATTTCCACCCCACCATTTTCAACAGCGTGTCATCCTGACTGTTGAAGTCAAGCCAACACTCAATCCCATTACCTTTGACCACATTCTAAACTCACAAGTGGCAAGTCAGGTTATGTACGCATTTGCTTCTGATGATACTCTCCAGTCGCTTGGTGTAGTGCTGGCTGGTGGGTTATACTGGGTGTATCAGGAAGTTGACCGGCCGTCTGCTCGTGAATTCGAGTATTTGGAGAGGACCATGTCTGACTCGGATTATGTGCCTGAGATGGCACGGGAGAACTCCACAGATACAAGCAACTCAGGCTCCTCAGGCTCCTCTGCCCTCAGTGACCCTCCTCATGTCTTATTCCATGTCCCTGAATGTGTCAACTCTATCCTTGATGGTCGCAGCCAATTCTCCTTCGATGACGTGCCACTTTGCAAACAGGCTCTGACCCAGATAGCCTCGCATCTGAGGGCCTGCCATGGTCAGTTTTGGGGATTGCAGGGTGATGGGAAGTGCACTACTTGCGCTGCAATGGTTTGTTTTCTTTGTCACATCTGTGGTTTACTCACACTGACCTGTATCATTCCTACAGGCAGTAGAGAGACACCAACATGTGGTAAGGGAGCTGGAGCAAACGGGCATTGAATTGCCATCGTGAATTGTTTGCCTTTCATCAGCAAAACCCTGATTTGGGTACAGTGCCACAGCCACACAGCGTGTCACAGGTCACAATTTTTTTTTTGCAAAGGCTCTGCAGCATCACAGAAGTACTAATTCTATGTAAAAATAAATGTAATGTAGTCATAAATATATATACAACATGATGGTATACTAACAATTATGTTTTATTGAGAAATTGTGTAGTGCGCAGCACTGTGCAGCGCTGTACAGCGCTGTGCATGGGGGGACCTTGCTGTGATGCTGTGATGCTGTGCAGGGTTGTGCAGCGCTGTACATAGGGTTAGGGTTTTGCTGATGTTTGTCATATTTATTGTTTTTGGTCTTGTTCCATCTAAGTTTCCTTGCACCAGATAATATTCATAGTAAATGCCCGCCATACTACCAATAACTATTAATTCTGAGCACAATGAGCCTGTTGCAATGAGCATGCATCTCATAGTACTCACCGAGTCCACATCTAACTCATCTAATTCTACAACCAGACATCTCTTATACTCAATTTGACTTTCAATTCATGCTTTGTGGTCACCAGCGACCGCACCCTTATATGATAAAGAAGCCTTGCTTAAAACATTCGTTTGGCACTACTACGTGTCCTGACAACCTGTCAGGGTGACAACTCAGTACTCAATACTCAATACTCAGTCATGAATGACAGTGATATTTTTACCAGTATCAATGGGTGTATGATTGCCGCATGCTTCTGCCATCACCGCTGCATCATCAGCTCCATAGTGAGGCTGGCCCATCCTATAGGCTACAGCTGCTCCATCACCATTCAGTAAGTCCATGATTATTCTATTGCGCCATGTATATATGCTGGTATATACAAAAGACAACTAATGCAAATCAAAATGACAGTGATATATCTTTAGTAAGAGCCGAAGTCCAAAAGAAAGGATGATAGCATCATCAATAAACGAAAGACACAATAAACGAAAGACGCGATAAACGAAAGACGACATATCCAAATCAAAAGGACAGTGATATAACCTGAGGTTTGGAGCTGAACTCCAGAAGCCAAATAGTCGAACAGTTTAGCTCTAAACGCGGAATTATTGATAGCGCCCACGAATTAAGGTTTATAATGAGCGTAGGAGCGCAAGAATCGGGGAAACAGCTGGTAGGGGTGCACTCATCGGGGAGAATGGCTGCGATGACACGGGTTGAGGCTCAGAACCTGAGCCATAATGGGATTTGGCGGGCGGCGCCTTGAAAATGTGGCATTCTGTGTTGAAGACATCTAGTGAAAGGCATTAGTCGCTTAGGCTAATAGGTTAGGTAGGAAGAGCTTACATTCATCAAGCGAGATGTGATTGGGGTCGTCAAAGGTCAAATAACTATGCATTTTTATGAAGAGGCCAATATTTTCACATGCAGCACTACTCACAGGTACTTGAGGACCTCGGCGAACCAGAAACTTTCCATGTCATCGATTTTTTCGGAAATCACATTGCCGACGTCGTAGATACCAGTGTATGCAACAGTTGTACGCAAATACTTCTTGAAGCTGACAGTGGCACTAACTGCATTGTTGAAGTACTTGGGATCACCAGTCGCACGCCAAGCATAGAAGTTCGACTCAAGGACTTCAGGACGAAGAATGTAGTCGGGAGCGGTGATATAGAAGCCATGCGCATAATAGAAATCGAGTTGCTCTTGACTAGGAGCAGTGTTGCCAGTGAAGTTTCCGTCGCTAGAGATGTATGCGAAACCTTCAGGGCCAATCCCAGTGCTGGAAACAAGGAATCAGCATAGTGATAGATGGTGGTGGGGGACGTACGCAGTGCTTGCGTATGTGTTCCAGCAGGCATCGGTGAGTCGAAGACCGATAGAAACCAGTGTTTCATTATTGGTGAGCTTGCCGCCTTGGGTTTACATCAAGCTCAGGCCACAGGGAGAAGAGGAGAAGATACCTAGAATCCAGTTCCCTCCGTAGAAGCAAGCCAGGTGGGACCCCACGTGACGAATAACTTGGTCGTTGTCGTAATCAGCGAGGTACAACCAGTCATCAACAGTTGACGACTAATGCGAAGAATCAAAACGTGAGTTTATCAAGATAAAGAGGTCTGCATACTCTTAGGAGCGTTTTCACGGAAGTATCCGCAGCGGTCAACCACGCATCAGCGTACGAGTTGTCGTCGGTATTTGTAAGGCGGGCATATTTGATGAGATACTCGAAGTAAGAGTCAGAACCTCCTCCCCAAGTCTACAAAGGTCAATTCGGAGATGCATATACCACAAACATCAGCACTTACCACATACCCACCAACAGGATCACCGGTCAATGGGTCAATGCCTTGAGCGGGCATACCGGGGAGGGGGGTCGGCTGAAAAGTAACACATCAGGTAAGAGTCAACATCAAAGTTGATAATCCTGCTTACCATGTTGATCATATACTGCACAGATTTCTCAGCCAGTGTTTGGTACGTGGAATTGCCAGTATATAGACTTAACATCCAGTTCATTCAAGGAGCTGGACAAGCAAAATGACACACACACCTGAGGCGGTTCCACTCCAGGGTAAGCTACGCAGGACAAATGTCACAACTTGTTCTGCAGTATACATGATGTGCATGATGTAGACTCACACTTCCAGCCTCGGCAATGTTTGACTACAATTGAAGATAAGTATCATCGAGATTTAGATGTCGGTAAACTGCTCACAGTGGCGATAGTGGGTAGCAGGTTCGAAAAGTTTATAAAACCATACGGAATGGACTGATTCTATGAAAGAATCAGATACCATTACGCACATGCAAATATTATGACGATTACCTCCCTGACCCAGGCATAGGCCATTTGATCGGCGAGGTCCTGGGCCTTTTCAACCAGAACTGGATACTGCGCCCCGCTAAGTTCATACGCACTTATAAAACCTGCAACATAACGAATGGTGGTTTCAAAAAGACTGCCCTTAATCAACAAGATAGCTTAAAAGCGAAGATATGGCAACAAGTTACCTGACGGTATCGGAAGTGTGCGAAATGGCAAAGTCGGTGTTAGCAGTGTGGTTGACAGCTTGTTCAAACCAATCCTGGATACGTTTTGGAATGAGCTGATGTTGGTTCACGTCTCGCATGTGGAAACATACCGTCAACCCCATGATCCACTACATTAAGTGCACACGCAACGACAGCTCAGTAACTTGACCTCTAGACGAGGCTCATTACTTACCATAGTGCCCATAGCGTCGGCAATAGAAGCGCCCCATCCGTTGCGTCCATCAAAGTATGACTCTGAAACGGGCAACAGATCATCATGCCCCCAGGCGTACTCCCTGCATGCGATATGGTGAGTGCAGATAGAAAGAAAGACTACTGTATCGTACTGGTAAGCCTCGTAGCTCGTGACGAAAAGCTCCTTGACTGCAGCCTGGTGGATGGAAGCACTAGGCGGAAGTTGCAAGTCTGATTTCTGAACTGGCTCGGCCTTGACAACAGATGCCGCGAGGACTGCCAGGAACCAGCGTCTGAAAGACGTCATCACTGGACAGGCGGTCGGGATGGGGAAGGATGAAAAGATAGTAGAACATTAGTTGAACAATATAAAATTTATAGCCTTGATGCCATACGCCGCTTTCATCACCGTTACTATTCGCGAGTCGCACGGTGAAGTTCATGATTCTGCCAGTGCATATAAGGCAATATAGTAAGAGCGTACGGACTTCGAGAGTTCGCACCGACATCACTGGACCTCATCATCAGTCGGCAACCGAGTTGTTCAACCTGGACCCGTGATGATCAATCATCCGTCACAATTCTCCGGTATGTGGGCTGACGAATTCTGACAGTACGTACTACGTTGCAAGGCAGATACCTAGTTAGCTAATCTTGATTCTTGCAAAAGCACACTCAGCACTAACTTGAAACTTGAAACAGTATGATATTTCCCTGCAACATGGTTGTTAAAATACGACAATCCGGTAAGCCGATAAGAAGCTGAAACTCACCCACTTCATGCCAATATTTTTTATACATTTGCATCATGATGGACCGGCTGCATGTATATCCACATATAATGCAGCCTCCTCCACCCACGCTCCAGGAACGCCTCACAAAGCCTTCAAATACAAAGCCGAGGCTTACTTGTAAAAATATCATGATGTTATTTTCTTCAGCCGATTATGTAGAGCTTGTACGGAAGCATAACGAGAGAGTCGGAACATTGTGTAATATCCCGTAATTCAATGGGTCATTCTTGCATTGGCGGCTGCTAGCTGGTAACGTGGACGATTGATCAGTAAAATGAAAGCGAAAATGAAGTCACCTTCTCGACTTCATGCTCCTTCTACTTGAAGGTGCAATTATTTTCGAATTGATTTTCCAGCCTGACTCTGCTTGAGTTGATGTAAAAGGAGAATTCAAGGAGCTTGACAGCTTCAATCTGAAAGGTAACTAGCGCCACGAGTGCACTAGTGACGGTGCTGCGAGACAAATTCGATTTTCAGAGGCCGCGTAGTATGCCGAACTAGTACACGTAGCAGTACTAGTAGTACACGAACACAGACGTGACGCATATTGTATATGGACCTTTTTAATTCTCAAGCCAGACTCCTGGCATGCCACCCGGGCATAATATGGAATTTGAACAACAGTCGTCGAGTGCAACGTACATGCAGTGCAATTGTTGCCGGAAAGATGGTCATCGCCGTCAACCAGTAGGACGATACTAACAAGTGCTTCGGGAGACGTTATAGCGTGCGGGGAATCTCTCATAGTAGCATGAACGCGTTTCAGCGACGTCGGGGCCGATAAGTGCAGTCTGAAGAAAGACTGCCACAGCGCTGACTTCAAGTTCCGTTAGCCTGCCGAACGTTGCATTTTATTTTGGAAGCTTTGGTCAGAGGGTTCGACCTGCTGACTTTCACCTTGCTTCAACGTGGCATGCGGTTTTTTCTCAACAGCTTGTTCGCCAGGCGAGCAAATACCATATTGGATGTCAGAGGGTGTATAGTACAACATATACTAATACATAGTAGTTTGTACCTACGGAAATAATCACGTGATCACTCTCACTGGTTGTGAGAATCAAGCGCTCGTTTGTGTTTCAATTTGTCGTCAAATGCATACAGAGAAAGATGAAGCACTGCAATTCAGAGTCTAAATATTCCACCCACCATGTCTCGCTTCCTCCAGCAGAACAACGCCTTTTAAATTGAGATCAATACCCTCAGTCGTCGCATCTGCCACAAAGCGATCAAAGACTCGCGAGACACCGCCTATGTTTCCGTCGGGGACCCAGCTAGCTTGCGCGATCGGATATCTGGAGACATAAGTATCAAGCCGCAAAGCCAGTAAGTCGTCATAAAGAAGTGAACGCACCCCTCCCATTTCACCAAAAACAGGTACCCAGCGTCCCCGATGGTTTTTCGCCCGACTAGGCGCTCGATGACAAACTCCTCCGAGTCTGTATCGAGTTTGGTGAGTGAACAATCTGGACGGGCACATGTTTTTGCGCGTCTGCGCAGGGTGTGACGTTTTGCACCTAGAAAATCAATCATGGTTAATCATATTAGGCAGCTGCCAGTGGATGGCATGAACACCTACTTGAGACGCTAAATAGTTTCACTTGATTAATTTAATGCAGGAGGCACAAATTTATTGAACGCGTACCAGCATGGCGGACAGATGAAGACAGAATCTGGCTCCTCCAAGCGAGGATCTCCTTCAGAAAAACCAGCGCAGCCAAAGTGATACCACAAGTCGCAGCTGCACGAACTATGGGATGACCATAGGATGAAATAATCAAAAGGTACTGACTTATCACACTGTACAAACTGCCGCTGAAACGACCCATCCTGTTCGCTCTTTGCAGGCCATTGACACATCTGGACTTCTTCCTGAACAGCCAGTGACTTGGACTTTCTCTTCTGCGGTTGCCGTGACTTGGGTTTCCCGTTTCTCTCGGGCCGCTGGACGTTCTTCTGGGTGGTGACTTGGCTCGCCTTCCAGCTTAGAGGCCGCACCCGTTTCCCGCGTGAAATTGAATCCTCCCGGGGCTTACTGGTATTTGCGACTAGCTCCGGCTCCGTCATCTCTGAGGTAGTCACGGAGGTCTGCGCTGGCTCGCTGATTGTCATGGCACCAATGGCATTGGTATTGTTTACTTCCATCGGTACTGAAATGTTTTCAACTTCAAGCGGTATCACATCCTCCGCTGATCCGGAAGGATCCGAAGATCGGGGCACTGGATGTCCTGCATCTCGATATTGGAGTTGATGGGCTAGATAGGTATAGGAAGAAGTCACGTCATCTGTGCTGAATGACGTGGCATCCATATCTGCATGGAACTTAGTTTTCTTTTTTGGTGGCCGCGACTGGATCGCTGACTCCAATGACTCGAGCTTACGCTTGAGTTTGAGCTCGGAGATCATGATCTTGCGCGGATCCTTCTTTGCGAGCACAGAGAGCTCTTCGATGGATGCGCCTGGTCCGCCTCTTAACTCACCAGACTGCAGCGATCTCAACAGCATCTTCCTCCGCAGTACCGATACCGAGGACGCTGAGCGTGCTCTGCACTGGTACACGCCAAATTCTTCATCTGAATCGAGGCTCTCTGCTCTGCGCAACTCCATCCGAGTTTGCTCTTGCCCCTCCTCGCTCCCAGCATTGATTTCCTCTTGCAATGCTGGCGGAGACTCCCCCAGCGAGGACAGTGGGGAAAGTGACCTGAATAGGTGCCTGAGAGATGATGGCGACGCGCAAGGGGGTGGGGTAACGAAGGTGGGGGGAGAGTGGACGGAAGCCGTATGTTCAAGTTGGGCTGAGAGCTCGGCAGATGTAGTGATTTCGGATTCGATGTGTATTTGATGATCAACAGTCACTGCAGGTTCGTGCTCCACATGCATCTCTGCAGGTTCTTGCTCCGCAAGATCCTCAGTATACGTACTTCTCAGAGCGGACGTGGCTCCATCGGTGTAGGCGTTTGTGAAATCAATAAACGTCGTGAAAATGTTGTCCCCATCATCAAGAATCTCCGTTGGTTCCTGTGAAGGAGGGCCGTCTCCTTGGTCCTGGACTCTTGGACACGACGCCTCCGATTCTGGCTGTAAAGGCAAACATACAGATAAACCCTCTGGGGAGGACGGCAAAGGCGGGGATCGACTCTCTGCTGAAGGAGATGGGGCAGTGAGCGCTGCGACGACAGCCTCTTCATCTCTCTCGAGAGAATCTGCAGGTGTTTGTTCGCGGGAGTCTCCAACGTGGAGATCTTCATGTCGGTCCAGGTAATAAGGATTGAGGCACATCGGATCTGAGGGACTTGGTTGGCGTAGCTCAGAGTGAACAGGTTCAGGCTCTATGTTGTCTTCTGAGTCTGCAAATTGTTCTGAATGGTACTCTTGTGGGAAAGCGTCTCGCGTGTCTGCTGGCTTGTGTGCGTCACTTGGCGTAAGAAATATATCAGAACGTTTTTCTGTTGACTTGAAGGATTCGAAGAATCCTTCGAGCCCTCCACCCTCGTTCTCTATCTGCAAGCTCTGCTCTCTCTCACACTCTCCAAAATCGTCATGCCCAGGCTCATTCAGGCTATCGAGTCCTGACTCGCCCGATCCCCCAGCATCAGGCGTGTGGCCAAGCCACAAACTCTCCTCAAGACTTGGGCCACCGAAGTCCCCGTTTACTTCCCCATACTCATCTGTCCACATATGTTCTGAGCCACGAAGCTCTCCATCCTTGTCCGTCCTAGCCGTACCCAAACGATACCGTGGCGGAAGTGTGTGCCCGTGTATGAGTCTCTGCAGCGCATCCAAGTCGATCGCGTGTGATGGACTTCTTGAGCTTGCTCGGGAAGCTGACGCAGTAGCTTTTGGCTCTCCTCTCAACTCTTCAGAATGCGCCTCCGATGCACGCAGTGGGATTTCTGGCTCTATTCCTAACCCTTCAAGTTGCGCCTGAAGCACGTGCGGAGATGCCTCTGCATTGGCTTCAAACGACCGTGATGGGTGATCCAACTTGTTCTGCGCCTCGATTGTAGATGGCGGGATTCCTGGTACTTCAGGCTGTGCCTCAGGTGCGGGCAGAGATGCCTCTGAAAACGATGAGGATGGGGTACCAATCCCGCCTGAAGACGTATTCAAGCAAATACGCGATGAACCAGCAATCGTACTTTGATCTCGGATTTCCTCCTCAGCGCTCTGCTCCTGGGAGTCCATACTCTGGCTGCGATGTCCATCATGTTCATAGCGTCGCATTTTACATTCCATACACGGTCCCTCACAATCCACATCTCCCCCGATAGAGTCCTGGTAAACCTGCGGTAGGATGTGATATAATGTGGTCGCGTGCGCTTGTGCGAGTGTAGAGGTGGGAGTTGTGGGTGGGCTTGCGAGGTGCATGTTAGCAGTGCGGGCAGAAGATGAAAGCGATGATGAGGGTGAAGTAGGAGCGATAGGGGCGATTCTAGAGACAGGGGATGAAGCATCATAAGCAGACGAGCCTGAAGTTGATGAGGTCGAAGGTAAGGTCACTGTATGGGTGAAATTTGATGGAGCAGGGTTGGATTTGTGGCCAAGTGAACGCAATGCAGATAGAGTGAAGGTGCGTGTAGGTTTGTGAATTAGATTAGTAGACGAGGGAGAAATGGGGTTTAATAATGAGTTTGGGAAGGCGCGGAGTGACGTAGTATCCCGTCTCGGTTGTGGGGCCGTCCAAGACTCGGAGTTTGAGTCGTTCGCGCTGCTGAAACTTTCCTCGAGCGGGGTTTCAGGAGATGGGGTTGGTAGCGGTGAGGAAAGATCAGGCCCATATATGGGGACTCTGGTGTACAAGGTAGCAGGAGTCGCTGAGCGAGAGGAGACGTCAGCTATTGCAGGATGGTTAAAAACACTAGAGGATATCGTAGAGTCCGGAGAAGCTTGAGACTCTGTACTCTCGGGTGAGCTGGAATTGCGCTGAACACGGTGGTTATATTTTTGCGAGCGAGTAAATGCTGTTGGGTAGGTAAATTAGTTCGTTGGATTAGATGGGGACCAGATAAATGAATAAAAAAAGGAAGATGGAAGATTCTATGTCTGTCCATGGATACTTGTTAGGGCTCACAAAGAAGAGAAGGTCTTTTGAAATGATTTGGAAAGGAAACTTACCTAAAGCACGATACGAGTTGTTAGCTGCAGGTATGTGTACAAGAATCCAGTCGAAATTAAAATTCGTGGAGCAGTCAATGATGATGAAGAGACAAAAATGGTATTTATAGTCTCAGTATGAGATGAGAATTAAAAAGGGAGATACATACGATAAACAGCGGGGGCGAGGGTTTCAGAAGAGTGCTGCACGAAAGGAAAGGGCCGAAATTTCAACAGACCTTGTGGCAGCACGGTGGCAGGAAGAGGCTCATCTGTGTTAATCAGAACACGAATTTAAAACAAAACTCATAAAACGCACGGGAAGCTGTGTCCAACCTAGCAAGTAAATGATTGATCGCACCATCCATTGTCGCTAACCGACGGACTATACCCCCCTCAGATTGTAGCGTATCCAAATCCATGATTTCCTCCTTCTTCTTCCTCCGATTCTTCCTCTTAACGCGACCGCGACCTACATTACCACAAAGTACACCTTCCAAGACGTTGACGGTCGTGCTCAGGTCACTCAAGTCCCTTGAAATCTTTTTCTGCTCCTCAAGAGAGGCCTCCACGGACTGAAGTATTGCCTTTACATCTGCATAGAGATGCTGCAGTGAGATGTTGGGTGTGATCGTTGTCTGCTGGAAGATCGGTGCTGCAGGGGGGGACGAAACAGGCGTAGATGAGATTGGTGCTGATATATGGCTTGGTTCAGGAGCAGATCGAGAAGGTACCACTCGAAAGTTGTTGAGATAGTGCTGCATGCACGGGTCTGACATGGTGGACGGTCAGTTGGGATACGATATCAAATCGATCTAAATGGTTCAAATAATGACTACATACGTACAATCAACTCCTACAATTGTAATAGAAGCCATCTTATCAGAACTTGATCAAGAACGCAAGCATCACGTGACTTCCGACTAACTAGATGTAGTTCAACTTTGAACTAGTCGTTAAGCTTAACTTAAAGGATCATCGGTCCCAGTCCTGGATGGAGTCTAGAGTCTACAGGTCATACCCATCAATATTGGATCCTGGTTATGCATAAAAGTTGTCGTGCTGCACTCGACCATTATTTCTTCAAAGAGATGCGGAATTGGACAGGAGCGCCAGTGGCAACCGCATGAATGAACCGACAATATCATCGTTTTTGTTGCTGCGGACTGGTATGGCTAGTTTGAGCTCAGCCGCCGTCGTGAACAGTGATAAACACCATAAGAGGCGAGACCGCGTGATACAGCGACTAAGGCTGTTCTCGAGAATATACCAGAACAAGCAGTAGTCTAAGCAGTCTCACGGCGGTGTCCAAGGACTTGCCAGTGACTATCATCATCTTCACCTCTCGAATTTCTACTGTTGTGCATGTCCAACTTGAACGGGCTCCCTCTGCTCAGCGGTCCTCCACCAGCGCCTTCCACAAGTCGTGCGCAGAGCGCCTGTAGGAAATGCAACAAGGAATTTATCATCATATTTACACGCTCAACCCGCTGTAACCATTGTGGTCAGTTGTCACATCTGCGAACTACATCAGTGACTGGATTGATTCGATTGGCGGCTTCGAGCAGGTTACTTATATTGTTCGAGCTGCGCAGACTACCAGGCGCTCATGCCCCGCCATGGCGCAGCATCTGGCTATGATCAAGTTCACGTTTGTGCATTCTGTATTGAGTTTCTCAACAGTGCGCCCCATACTTGCTAGTACCAACGTCCCAGTCTGATGTCTTGTATTCAGTAACAGCTTCTAGTAGAAACCAGCTCAAATCCCTGCCGCTCTCCGACCTTCGCCGCTATGTCAACGCATATGATATCCCCGTCAAAGGCCCTATCGATAAGAATGACCTCGTGGATGCCATAATCGCTGTAAAGGTGCTTTCCGTTCCATCCTGGTCCATCATTTTATTGCTCACTTCTCCTAGACACCAATAGGCACCCTCCCGCCCTCAAATGAATCTCACTACCGTGCCCATGGTGTCCCAAAACATCGTTCCTCGCGCCCTCGCGGACTCTTTAGCACCCGTCCTCCACCCCCAACTCACCAACAAACGTTTACATCACCACCACCCGACTTCCCCCGTCCTGACCTTGACCCTGAGCCAGCACCATACAGAACCTATACCTCCAACACCACAAGACAGCGTCAGACACCCCCTACGCCGCCCCCGCCCCAGCCTTCTTCCCCTCAACCACAGCCACGATTCAGGACGGCTTCGCAGCCACAAACGCCACCCCGATCGGCGCCCCACTCCACTCCACGCCCTTCTCCAGCGTCTACTGCCAGCCCGCCTCCTACGCGCCCACCAACCGCACCTCGCTCACCACCTCAGCCATCTACGCCGCAGCCCCCTCCCCCACTCTCTGCTCTCCTGGCAATGTCCTACTCGTCACTCTCGCGATTGTCCATTCACACGCTAAAGCAGATACTGTACGAGGCACGTGTGCGTCTGCCCGCCGATCTCTTTGAGAAAGAGCAACTCGTGGCGCGCGTCAGTGCCTGGTTGGAGGAGGAGAGAACAGCAGCGGAGGAAAGAGATATCATGGAGAGAGAGGAGAGGGAACAAGAAGAGAGGGAAAGGCGAGAGAGGCAAGAACAAGAAGAGAGAGAGAGAGATGAGGCAGAAAGGTCAACCATAGAGACAGAGCCAGCAGAGTCAGAAGACGCCCATACGCACGGTTCTGCTGAGAATGTTGAGATACATGGCGAGTCGCAGCATCATCCTCCACCGCCTTCCACCTCTCCATCACCACCACTACCTAGGACGACGCTTGCAGAACGTTCAGGTTTGTGTGTGATATGCCAGGACCAGGAAGCAAATATTGCAATCGTGGATTGCGGGTAAGTGCTACATATTGTGTTTGCGCGCATGGCCTTTCACTAACCCATGCCAACAGACATCTAGCTATGTGTCGTGCCTGTTCTGATTTAGTACTCGCCTCATCTCGCGAGTGTCCGCTCTGTCGCACTCGCATCGTCACAGAAGCCCGACTTTTACGGATATTCAAGACATAGACCTACTTTCAAATTTGCAGATCAAGAACTTCAACTTGCTATCACTGTACATTCTCGGAGGCTGCAGTTGTGTACCATGCCCAATCATGGTGTGCTAAATATGCGGATTTCATACTGTATTTTTTGTGCGTGCGTAAGATATAGCGATAGGTACCAAGTGGAACTTGGGCTTGTCTCGGATGTAACTAATAATCTGACATTATTGACCATATCGTGGAGAGCTGTGCCTGTATTAGGGGGATAAGCACTAACGCTTGGGCCTTCCTTCCTAATACATGTGGAAGACGAACGCACCCCCCGGGGCATCGTTAGCAAGCTCGGATTTGGTTCAGACAAGCCTGAGACAAAGCCTATAGGAGCACAGTTCGCCTTGAGTTCTCTTTTCCTACCTTTTCTGTTATGCTACACTCATTTTTTCCGCGACCATGCAGCATAAATGATCTGGGGAGCAGCCTGAACGTGCGCGTTCGTATTCCGAACCTGGATCAATGCTGTTTTGTGATTCACTTCGATTCCCCATATATCACTGCTTTCAAGCGCAAGTTATCAGGCTCTAGCCCGTGCTGTTCTCGACCTCTGGCGAACGAATTCCTTCGCATAAGGGAAATCATATTCTGCACTACCCATAGTACGTACACAACCAAGACATTTTGTGCTTGTTGGTTCCATAGACTTAGCATGTGCTACTCTAATACATTTGCCTACATCGCACTCCCGCGTGCTTCTGAGATTTTGCTATCATTCACAGGGAGCGTTCGTTTTCCTTTTTCTGGAATACCCGAGCGGTCACAACTTTGCGCACGGAATTTTCTTCACCCCCCGGACAATGAAATATTGGGTGTCGTCCTACTCTCGTATTGGACTTGTGATGAGTAGTGCAGGTAGTCCTTTCCTGAAACGATTGGCACTAGGTCCGTACAGTATTTATATATGAAGAACGAGTTTTATTTCTCAACCGTCAAGTGCGAGACAGACTGTTTCAACAAGGACGACTGCGGCTGCCACGCCGTAGACAATCTACGAGAATATTTGGGGGATGGTTTATCGCAGCATCACGTCTGAGCAGAACTGTTTTCACCTCTATTTTGCGCTCTGATAAAGAGTTTCACCGCTAGCATACCCGGACCTTTCATGTGCGTTACAGTGCTTTCCCGGGCGATACTTGTATCAACAACAATACTGAATCGTTTCAACGCCGTTAATCTCGCAACCTCTGACGGACACTATTTTTGTGTTCATTCCCACACACGTATCTAACGTGCCACATGTTTGCCAATTGCATAAGGCGGCAGTGGTCTCGGGGCTGGGCATGGCTCGTGCGCAAAGAGGACCACCAGCCGTAAATGCCAGAATGATGATCGTCAAGAGATTCATCTAGACCGTCATCAGTGTCATAAATCGGATCCTGTTGGTGAGGGGAACCTTACTGTCAAAGGTACGAATTGTTCAAGCAGGTGCGGGGTTTTTTTGGTTGATTGTTCATGCTGACGCGCTTTATAGATGCTGGTTAAAGCGTTAATCCGTAAGTTTGGAAACAGAAATGACACGTAGGCAGACTAAGACTCGTGTCATACGAAGTCAATCACTTCGCATTGTGAGAATGCAGAATCTCTTGATCACGAAATATGTACATGCTCTAGTCACGCCGACCCTTGACTCGAAGTTCGATGCAACAGCCACTGTATTGAGTCACACCGGGTGATCGTATATCTCTACATCTAACCTTCTCCCACAGAATTCTCATATTTTAGTTTATTGAATGGTAAACTTTGTCCCTGTTCGCTCGTCCCTTTCATTTGCCTCCCCTGCCACCTAGAACTACTATGTGGAGACCCGGACTCGGATGTGGCTTGTCATTGTGGGATTGAAGGAGGCTTGAACCCGGTCTTCTGATCTTCGTTGATCAGAGAAACATCACATATGATATCGGTATTGATGCGACTGTACATGGTATGCACATTGCACACAGAGGAGGTGATGCCCGGTTGTTTGTACATATTGAATCCCAAAGTTACTTCGACTTCCTTTTTAGCTAAAAAAAGCTTATCGTCTCCGACAGCAGCAGTCGCAACAACTGTCCGGTCATCTACCGTCGGTTATGTCTCCGTCGTCTCTCTTACATTTTTGTGCACACGCGCGCCTGCCTGCCAACGTCCTTGAAAACTCCCGGTGCGTCAGTACTCAGTGGTTGGAGGAGAGAACGGCAACAGAAGACAAAGGAAGGAAGGAGATTTGGGGGAGCGAGCTGAGGCGAACAGACTGATCATATAATTTAAAATAGAGCCAGAAGACGTCCACATGTGCATGGCCCTGTCGAGAATATTAATGTCGAGATACATGACGCGGTGCTGCCACCATTCCTCACCACCCTCCTCTTCTCAATCGACATTTCTACACATAAGACAACGTTCGCAGAGCGCGATATACCAGGATCAGGAAGCAAAAATTATAGTGGATTGCGGGCGAGCATCCCCGTTCTTATGATAGGTCGCTTATTGATTTATGCGGCGTCCAGAGCAAGATGTCTGGAGGTGTACCGCAGCTTCTCTGAGCTAGCGCACGCCTCGTCCCGTCAATGCCCACTATACCGCACTCGGATCATCAGAGGCACGGCACGTACGAGTATCGAGATTCGAAGACATGCGCGTTTTTAATGTTGCTATTTGAGAATTACCTCGCGCTCACGGAACCAACCACACGCGTGCTATGTGCCGCGGCAGACAACAATGCATACGTGTACAAAAGACATGAAATAACAACAGGGGACTGCGGCCCATTTACCGCGACAGTTGAATGTCACGTTCGTCAACAAGCACGCAGACTAACACATTCGCGAGACAGCCAACTTGAAACGAAATCCTTCAGGCGCACGCTCATTTATCCACGGGAGTCCACAGCTGCCTGCTGATGACAGTCCCCGTCTGGTTCTTGAGGGTGACCTGCAACGAGCGTCAGAGAACAGTACGATACCACGGTCAACGGGCCACGTCACCGATGCATTGTCTTCAAGCTCCAAAGTGTAGTAGCTATCATCGTCCTTGGACGCGTGGGGAACTTGTAATCTGCACCTCATCCGTCAGTCGATAGGCCTGGTCTGAATTGCGCATGATACGCACGCGATATTCTCGCCTACGAAGACCAATTTCCACCAGTGCTCAGTGTCGCTCATGAGGACTTGCATGCTTGACTGCAAATTCGTGCAAAGCGGTGAGATCGACATCGGAACCGCTTCTCGCAGACACTTACGTTCCACGACAAGTAATTTCCAGTATCCTTGTTCTGGACCGACCACAGACGCGAGTCTGATTTTCTGTCGTATGTGTACTTCGCGAGCCACTATTGATGATGTCACTCGTCAGCGTTAGGGTCGGAACTTCATCTCCGGACGTCTACTGACCCTCTGATTGTCGGTATGGTTGAAGCCCTGACCTTCGACCTTGACGTGCGCACCGTCTTTGGCCGTCGCCAACACGTAGTCAGGGTCGTGCACGTTTACAAGGACACCGCTGATAGGCATGATGAATGAGATTTGTTGTTTGTGAGGCAAGAAAGAGAATACGAGAAGTGAGTTGGTCTTCAAACCTGCGATCGCAACATCATTTATATGCGGATTCCTCAGGTGCAGACTCGGCGACGGGCCACGGCATTCTGCCGTCCCTCCTGAATCGTGCGAGCAGCTCGATGCAGGTGCCAAACCATAGGGCGATGGCAACTCGCTGGCTCGCGACCGCCGCTCTGGAACTTTCATTGCAAAAGGAGCTGTCGATCATTCCTCGTTTCCTCCTATCAAGAATGTTTGTCGATGAATTTACCTCATCCCAACACTTTCACTTTCGTTGCCGAAGGAGTCGAGCACCATTTCTGGCATTTTATGATTGATTTCTCGGCGGTGACTACATACGACGCCCTGGCACTTCCATGCTCGCTTGCCAGGAATGTTCTTCAACGGCGTTATGATGAGATCAGTCGCTTTTTCAGCCTAGCGACTCCCACGGCGGCGAATTGCAAATGGCTTTACAAACATTCAAAGTTTATTGATTTCGCTTGCTAGGAATGTTCGTCGATCGCGGGGCAGGGCCATTACTCGATGTCTCGGCATTGACTACATACTTAGTGCTTCCATTGTCGAAGAAGTTTACTGATTCTCGCTTGCGGGGAATGTTTGCCAATCGCAGCACATTGTCCGCACTTTTCGAATTTGGCGTTCACACACGCAGAAAGATGGTCTTAGTTATGTTTTCTCTCTCTCTATCTATGTGTACAGTTGTATATACATGCACTATGCAATACAAGTGTTTGAATTTGCTTCATTAACGATGAAATTGATCGAGTACGACTCATTGAAGTGGCATTTTTTTACTAGTGTAAATTAGCACATGGTATGATATGATACAAATGCTGAGAGGGATTCAAATTCTATGCGGTTGATGTCAATGAATGATTTAGTAGAACGTGCCAGAAAAATTAGCTACAATATCTTCAGTGTTCTGATGTTCGTCATGCAGGGAGTAGCAGTCATGTTCTTTACCGATACAATGATACTGCGGTCTGACCTGAGCCTCTTGTATTACTCCCCGCCACGCTGCTGCGCTAGAAAAATGCACAAGAAGGTTATCCAAGGTGAACGATCAACCTCAACACTCACAATCTTCAAAATAGTATAGGGAGAGCCATTCATCTCATGGATAGATAGACCCATTCATGCGCTCCCTCTCATCTGCAAAACCAGGCAGCTCAAGGTCATGATGATTCTACAGACACTAGAAAGAATGGCTGCTGAGTAGACCCTGGCCTTGGGAACGAGATCAACTTATCTTCTGTGCTGATTAAGATGTCTTGAAGTTGCGTGCCCTGACTTCAGAAATGAGACATGTCTCCCGGTCGCGACTACGTCTGTCTGGTTGCAGTTACAGGAAGTGGGATACAAAATAGACGCAACCTGCGGTTCACGAAACGAGGAGCGCTGAGCTTGTCAAGGTGGGGTTCCAGGCAGGTTGTTGGGACATGGCAAGAGGAACTCAACCATACAACCAATGACACCTAACACTAGTGCTGTACTTCCCGTTGATGGGATAAATCAACTGATCTCTTGAAAGTGCAGACAATGTACCATGATTGGCAAACATTTCCCGCAAACGAGGATTAGTGAACTTCTCTTGCAATGGAAGTACTATGTGGTCAATGCCGAGACAGTTGCGCACGCCAAATTCGAAAAGTGCGGACAATGTGCTGCGATTGGCAAACATTCCCCGCAAGCGAGAATCAGTAAACTTCTTCGACAATGGAAGCACTAAGTATGTAGTCAATGCCGAGACATCGAGTAATGGCCCTGCCCCGCGATCGACAAACATTCCTAGCGAGCCGAATCAATAAACTTTGAATGTTTGGAAAGCCATCTGCGATTCGCCGCCGTGGGAGTTGCCAGGCGGAAAAAGTGACTGATCTCGTCGTAACGCCGTCGAAGAGAATTCCTGCCAAGCGAGCACAGAAGTGCCAGGGCGTCGTATGTAGTCATCGCCGAGAAATCAATCATAAAATGCCAGAAATGATGCTCGACTCCTTTGGCAACGAAAGCGAAAGTGTTAGTATGAGGTAAATTCATCGACAAACATTCTTGATAGGAGGAAACGAGGAATGATCGACAGCTCCTTTTGCGCTGAAAGTTCCAGAGCGGCGGTCGTGAGCCAGCGAGTTGCCATCGCCCTATGGTTTGGCACCTGCATCGAGCTGCTCGCACGATTCAGGAGGGACGGCAGAATGCCGTGGCCCGTTGCCGAGTCTGCACCCTGAGGAGTCCGCACATATAAATGATGTTGCGATCGCAGGTTTGAAGGCCAACTCACTTCTCGTATTCTCTTTCTTGCCTCACAAACAACAAATCTCATTCATCATGCCTATCAGCGGTGTCCTTGTAAACGTGCACGACCCTGACTACGTGTTGGCGACGCACAAAGACGGCGCGCACGTCAAGGTCGAAGGTCAGGGCTTCAACAGTACCGACAATCAGAGGGTCAGTAGACGTCCGGAGATGAAGTTCCGACCCTAACGCTGACGAGTGACATCATCGATAGTGGATTGCGCAGTTCAAATACGTCAAAGAAACAGAAACACGTCTGTGGTCGGTCCAGAACAAGGATACTGGAAATTACTTGTCGTGGAACGTAAGTGTCTGCGAGAAGCGGTTCCGATGTCGATCTCACCGCTTTGCACGAATTTGCAGTCAAGCATGCAAGTCCTCATGAGCGACACTGAGCACTGGTGGAAATTGGTCTTCGTAGGTGAGAATATTGGGTGCGTATCATGCATGATTCAGACCAGGCCTATCGACTGACGGATGAGGTGCAGACTCCAAGTCCCCCACGCGTCCAAGAACGATGAAAGCTACTACACTTTGGAGCTTGAAGACAATGCATCGGTGACGTGGCCCGTTGACCATGGTGCCATGCTGTTTTCTGACGCTCGTTGCAGGTCACCCTCAAGAACCAGACGGGCAAGCTCATCAGCAGGCAGCTGTGGACTCCCGTGGATAAATAAGCGTGCGCTTGGAGGATTTGGTTTGGCTGTCTCACGAATGTGTTAGTCTGCATGCTTGTTGACGAACGTGACATTCAACTGTCGCAGTGAATGGGCCGCAGTCCCCTGTTGTTATTTCATGTCTTTTGTACACGTATGCATTGTTGTCTGCCGCGGCACATAGCACGCGTGTGGTTGGTTCCGTGAGCGCGAGGCAATCCTCAACCAGCAACGCCGCATTGAGAAACACGCATGTCTTCGATATTCGTACGTGCCGGGCCTCTGATGACCCGAGTGCGGTATAGTGGGCATTGACCCGACGAGGCGTGCGCTAGCTCAGAGAAGGTATGGTACATCTCCAGACAGCTTACTAATCGCTCGTTGAGCTGAAGAAGACAAGGTGACGCACAGATCGCATCATGGGAAGACGCTTGTGCGTTTAACGCAAGTGTTGATTAAGATCAAGATACAAATGGTGATTATAAGGGACCGTACTGGACAAATTGGTTTTTCGCTTTGCGAAACTTATCTTGAGCTTAGACTACGATATTTTGATTTTGACCTTGATGTTGAGAAGCTTGACTTTGACGTTTTGATTTCGACTTTGAGCTTGACCCTCGGCAAGTGCCGGCAGAAAGCGCCGGCACACTAACTACTAGCTAGTGTGATGACATCAATGTTCGTCGTCCCAGCCGTCACCCTCGCCATTGTAATTAACCATCTCAACCTCACTCGTCAAAATCAATAGCATTTCCCTCGAGCACTTCAACTTCGTTAATATTCTGATTCCTCTGAACTTCTTCAGTCCTTTTCAACTCTTCGAGAGCTGTAAATTCAGCGGCAATATTGTCAGGCGAGATACTCTCTGGACCAGCAAGAAGGTCATCTGCATTGTGAGGCTCAGTCGAGAGCGGAGGTGCCCATGCGAAGGATATGGAGAAGTACTGGCACGATGGAGATGGATGACCTTGTCCGTCCATGCGCCGAGCCATTGCATCCCTGATCCGACACGCCTCTTGGAGGCGACTCCGAGAATTCAAGCTTCAAGCATGATGGTCTTGTTCATTTTATTCTATGTATATGCTACTGACATTTTTTCACGTTTGCTTGTTCCCAAACCAAGTTCTTCCCTTCCTTCGGTGAGTGCGCAACACTTGAGCAACCCCCCACAACTTCGTGGTTTGATCTACATGCGCTGCTCACTCGCCTGTCCTCACTTTACGATGTTTATTTTAAAACTGTTTCTCATTTCTAATTAGTAGTCTCGAACGGCGAAGTCAAATTTGGTGCGTAGCCCCCCTCTATTCTCATACACATCCATCTTAACCCATCACAGACAACATATTCTTCTACGACCATCAAACTTCCGCCCTGCACAGTATGTTTCCCATGGCGGAGGCATCACCCTCATCGGCAAAAGCGGAGCAGGCAAAATCACATTCCTGTACCTCCTGTACCGCTTTTATGACCTCCAACCTGGCTCAGGGTGTGTCCTAATCGACAGTCAAGACATCCACATGGTAATGCTCTCAAGCCTGTGTCGCGCAATAGGCGTCGTACCCCAAGGCCCTGTGCTCTTCAACGCCAACATCGGGTATCACATCACTCATGGCCAGCCTTCTATCACACCCCCTGATGAAAGCACCATCGTCTCAAGCGGCCAAGCTGCGTGCCTGCGAGTGAACCCCAGGTGGGTATGAGTATGGGTGCAGGTGCGGGTGCGGGTGCGGGTGCGGCCTCTGGTGGTACCCAGGTATTTACCTGTGCGAATCCCTATCCCAGTCCTGCCTGCTCCGGCATGAAACATGACGGATGGCCAGATAATAACTTGTAGCAATCGTTTGTTAACTTGGTCTTAGACTGCCTAATATGATAATCTTGATTCACTAAAAAGTTTATTGTGCTTCCATGACAGACAGAGGCTCATAAGGCTTGGGCACCTTAAAACCATACAATGTCAGCGGTGCATTCCCGTCGTGACGTCTTCTTCACAGTCATGAATAACCAGCCTAATCAGCAGCTTATACCTCCTCCATTACAGACAATACGAGCTGCATACGCTGAGCTTGGTCGCCGTGTTACGGTAGCCCTCTGCACACAGATTGGGGACCACACACGGTTAGGTGAAGAGCAGAGGCATTGCTTACGGTTATCAGCACTAGTGACACAGGCAAGTAGTGTTGTTCCGAGGTACATTCTCTTATTTGCTCAATTAGAGTAATGTACCATGTGGACATTTTCGTGCCAGCTGAACGTATCACCATTGAAAACAGTCTGCAAAGTATGATAGATCATCTGGATGATGCAGCTCGTCAGTCAGTGGACCCACCAGATGCTCCACCAATACAGGCATCTTATGTGGTGCCAACTGGGCGACCAGGACGCCCCCGTATCGAAATCGAGCCATCTATTTTAGCACCTGCTATTGAACTTCGCGGTCCGACACACCTTGCAGCGGTATTTCAAGTATCAGCACGAACTGTGCGTCGCCGTGCCTTGGAGTATGGCTTAGTAGAGCCAGGAGCCCCAGTGTATGTTGATTATGAAGCTGAAGATGGGACTGTCACGTGATTCTACACATCATCAACTGCTCCGACTTCTGACCTCTCGGATGATGAGCTGGACGGGATCATGCAACAGATACTCGACCGCTTTCCTTACTTTGGTCGTTGGATGATCCAAGGACATTTCCAATATCTTGGCCACCGAGTTGACATGCAGTTGTGTGCTAGAGTCATATGCTCGTGTATATGGTGCTCCTCTTAACATTTTTGGCTCGTGGAGGATACAACACCGTGTTTATTCTGTTCCTGGTCCCAATTCTCTGTGGCATCATGACGGGCAACATGGTGTGTCATGTAACTATTTGTGGTTCTACCTGCTGCAACTTGTTGTTTACCACAGGATTGATACGATGGCAGTTTGTCATGCACACCTTCATAGATGGATTTTTGCAGTTTGTGACAGGCATTTGTGTCAGTGGCAACAACAGAGCTCAGACAGTTCTTGATTTGTTCATCAATGTGATTGCAGAGCATGGCACCCCCAGTCGTGTGTGTGGAGACCACGGAACAGAGAATCTCCGAGTAGCCGAATGGATGGAAAATCACAGAGGTACAGAGCGAGGGTCTTATATATGGGGCCGGTGAGTCAGTACCACCCCTGACCCCTGCATTAATGTTTAGGTATGTGTATTGCAGGAGCATTCACAACATCTGTATCGAGCGCCTATGGTGCAATGTAACAAGAGGATTTGGAGCAAAATGGAAGGATTTTTTTCCTAGGGCTCGAGATGCATGATGGTTTGGATACTAACTTGGATGCCCATGTGTGGCTCCTGCACCACATATTTCTTGAACAAATTAACCTGGATGCCACTGATTGGGCTGAATCATGGAACCATCACAGAATTTCAATTTGTGATGAGCGCCAGTGCAGTCCACACGACATGTTCTTCTTCGGCATGCTTCAAAATGGTGTGCGTGGGGTGTTACGACTGGGATAAGTCAAGCTATCAGAGTCCAGATGGACAATTGGCTTAAATGCCTGATAGATGTAGGTCTTCTCTCATATGAGAGATCAAAGGTTTCTTGGCTAAGGCAAGTGTCGCTGACTTCCTTAGAATAGTGGTTCTAGACAGTAAGGTTGGAGACCTTACTGAAGGACTATGTTCCAGGTAAAACCCAGTAGATTAAAGTGAAGAATACAAGCGGTAGTGTTACAGTCTATATAGACAATGTTCAAGCGGAGCTTGTAAATGGTGTATCAAGATAAGAGACATGAGGCGGATGGCCCGCTTGGATAAGAGAGATAAGCAACATGAGGCAGACAGCCCGCTTGGATAAGAGATAGCAAGGATAGTGTAAGACAGACAGCCCATTTAGTGTGTGGTAGAAAAAGAAATGATAGGGGTGAAATGTTATTGTAACATGGGGTGGATGCAACATTCATTCTGGGAGATGATGAAGTGGGTGACTTCCAAGAGTACGGGATAGACTGGGAAGCATTTGATGAAGATCATGTTCGTCAACACCATAACATAGCAAATGGTGTGGATGAAACAGCAGACAACCCATTTGTCGTTCATCCCCCACAGCAGCTATCAGATGTACAGGTACCAGAAGTGAACCATCCACTGACAGATGCACAGATACATGATCTAGATAACCAGCTTACCCTTCTACCTCATTACTCGTCTTACTCCATGGACAGCTGTAGATTACTGTGGATTGACGCACTTCAAATATACTGTAACATGTTTCATTAACTTTGGTAACCTGGTTTTAATGGCAGTGAATGGCAAGGTCGAGATACGATATGAAATGAAGACATGGTTGCTGCAGATTTTATCAAAGGCAGAAAAGAAGAAGAGGTGGTAGTACAGTATGATATGGAAATGCGGATGGAGCACATTGCACTGGCGAAGACAGAAGTAGTTAATGCAGGTTGTATCAAAGACAGGACCGCAGAACGAAGACAGGGTTACAGCAGGCCGCATGAAAGACGTTCAAAGGATATTAAAGCTAGAGGGTCCTGAAAAAGCGAAGAGAGAAAAATGGATCCAAAGATCAAAATCTGTCACTGTGTCGTCATCATCTGGGATTGGATCAGCGAGAGAGGCGATGATGGCTTTTGTGAGTGGAATGTTCACTCAGTAGGAACAAGTCTGAAAGTGCATTGGATAGGAGGCTGGCTACAGGCAGTGTGGACACAGTTGAGCACACATTAGATAATATACACTGTTGCACATACCTCCCAATCAGTGCCCACTCCTGGTAGTTTTGAATGCGCATATTTCTGTGGAAGCCCTTTCGTAAAGCGAACCTGAGTGTAAAATTCAGTTCAATGAACAGCGAGCCTTGATTGTGAACATGTACACAGAAATTTTGCTTGGGATTTGCTGGAAGAATACAACTTCCGGAAATTTGCAGCATAAACTGCTTGCATCGCAGCATTGTGCGTGTCAGGCTCTCTTCGTCAGCATGAAGTTGCTCCTGAGACACATGCCTCAACAGCAGGATGTTTCGGATGGCCAACACCTCTCAGGTACTGAGTACACCTCAAGATGAAAGCTGCTTCCATATCTGAGTCGATGACAGGCTGCCTGCGTGCATGCCCACCATCAGATTCAGATATCTGCACAACCTCAAATTCGAGGCGCTGAATGAGCTGAGCAGGAGAAATAAAATGTTGCTGATAAAGCTCAGCAATCAGCCCTTCCAACGATGGGTGCAAGGTCTTAAAATGTGTCAACTTGTTATCAAGTGCACGACACAGATTCTCAAACTCACAGATGCCAAGGAAGGTATCTCTTCACTAACATAGACATTGAACCCTTCAGCAAATGCTAAAATTTCTTGAGGGACATCTAATGTGAATGCTGATGGACATCCAAGAAGAACGCCAGCATAAAGCTGCCATTGCAACTTGAGTTGTCTTGCAGATAACATATCTTGTACAAGTTGTGCAGGCTATTGACCTCATCAATCCAGAGATCAAATACATGATTATCCGGCTCACCTGAATCATAAGATATGTTGCCAACAATGGTGCAAGAGGTCCATTGGGTGAGAGGTTGAGAGGGCTGTTATGGTTTGATGGAATCACAGACAGTACTTGTGCTGCTTCAAGTGCCAACATCCCAATATACGAGGTATCAAAAAGAAGATTGAAGTTTCCCAGGACGTAAATGAGTAAGAACGGAGAACATGGTATAGGTGGTTAGCTGAGTGCAAAAATGTGCAAGGCACACAACAGACCATGGGTCTTGAGTTTACACACCATCTTTGGGTCCAACACCCCAAATGGGAGGGTCGAAAAGCTCTTGAACCTATCCATGGTCTCTACCCAAGTGGATAGTTCACTTGTTAACTTCTGGACAGCTTGGGCAAGGACGGATCGCTCGACACCTTCACCAAGGCCCTCACCACTGTGCCAACATGTCACAGAAGATAACTAAAGATACCAAATCAAGCTTACACTTTGTAAGTTCGTTCTGACATAAATAAACTGGTGAGGCTGAGGTCAGACCCATCATTCTTATATGAGTAACCGATGATGAGTCCTGATGGCAACGAGGCCATGCTGAAGGAAATGCCCCCATACTTAGAGTATATGAAGGCCGTCAAAAGATCAGCAACATCTTCCACTGTCTTTCCTTGACCACGCCAAGGTTGAATCTCTGTATGCCTACCATCCAATGCATGGTCTTGTATATATGCTTGCCAGTCAGTGATGTTGGAGTGGGCAGGGTGTGTGGGGGCAGTGTTCTCTGACTATAGTGTTGGACCACGAGCAATAGTAGACGAGAGTGACTGGTTGAACTGCAATTATGATACATGTCAATAGGTGGATCAATCAAAATTGAACCAAAAAAACATACACAATCATCGTTATCATCAACTCAATTAAGACACTGTTTGATACCGTAGCCAGGACAAGCTGACAAGCAGGATGTGTTCCTGCTCGGCTCAGGGAACACGGCAGTGAACAAGGTGTCCATTACACGTGATGCATAACAAGAGTGGTCCCTTTTTGTGGTGTCGATAGGCCCAGTAAGCTTCCCAAAATGAGGTGCTATTTGTGATTGCTCTTTAGTTCATGGGTATTCAAAATGACGAAAGCTAGACATACCAATGAATAGAAGTGGTGTGTTGCTGAAAGGATTCTTCATATTTCTGGAGATCTTGTTCATGTTGTCAATAAGGGTTGCCGCAGTGAGCTGCCATGTGGTCAATGCAGCTGCCTTTAATGTGTAGGATGTACCATCACGGTTGAGTTTTCCGAGCTGTAATATAAGCCAGTTGGCTCTTTCATACTCAACTTGTGGTGCATGGGTAGTCATATCAGTGTCAAAAAGTGGGGAAGCTGGGAAGTGGATGGTATGGGCAGCGAGGTGCAATGTGATGTGCTCATGAAGCTCGTTGATCACCAAGTGCTGCAGATCAGATATTGAAAGTGTGACATCTATCACAAGGTTATGGTGCTGAAGTCGACAAAGAATATCTGGAAGCTTTTGGCGACTGAGCCTTAGGTCTTTTGGAAATGGCTCATCAGACTCAATCTCGAGAGAAGGTGAAAACTAAGCCAAGTCCATCAGAAAAACAGGATGTTGAAATTGCAAGCTAAAGATCCTTACTGGATATGGTAAAAACATGATGTCAAATCTCAAAGATTCCTGAACAGAGCTTCTTCTCATAGCAGCATGACTGGACAGCCAAACTGGGCAAGAAGAGGTTTGAGTTGAACCAAAGTTTGTGGGCTGTGTGCTGGTAGGAAAAGGACTAAAAGGACTGGCAGTTCCTGGTACACCCACTGCCAGACAGAACGATGTATACGATTGTACACGGTGCTCATTACTCATGCCTGATCTGACTTGAGATGGGGGAGGACAGGCCATAGCTGGGGTGCCTACTACAGTTGGTGTTGGCAGAGGTGTTAAACTGCAGAGGCTTAACTAAGGTTACTTGACATGTAAGTATAGCAGGGGCACATACCTTGCAGTTGGTAGTGTAACTTTGACGTGTGCAAGCCAACATTGACCACAAACACAAAGGGATTGTGGTGTGATCAGTCCTGCATGACTCTTTACTAATTGTGTGAGATAGGTGTGTTAGATTTGGAGCGGCCTACGTACATTTCCTTGTTTGAATTTAACACATCCTGATGCTGGACAACCTCCTTTCAGAGGGAGTGGAAGCGGTGTAGCAGGGGCTCCTGGTGGTGGGCAGACCACTGGAACTGCATGGTGAACAAAAGTGTGTCCGCAATAGCACATTGCAGAATCTCATTCATCCTGTGACAATTTTGTTAGCGAGGATATGAGTTAATCAACCGAGAGTCTTACATTCGGGTTGCTCGCCTCAAAAACTACACACACTTTACAACATTGGCAGTTGTGCTGCTCAGGAAGGGGTGCCATGGTGGTTGAGGAAAAAGACAAATGGACACCCAAGATTTTCTGCGCCAGGTATATGAGAACATGGGGAACATCATTCTTAAAAATTCGTATGTCAGTCGGACTCGGTCCGTCCACACGAATTCCACAAGGTCACTATCAGAAATTGGCCTGATATAGTAATTCATGAGCACTAGCTTGACAACGGTCTTGAGGAGAATTGATACCCATGGCTGTAATTAATACCAATAAGCCGTTGAAGGTACAACAATTCAGATGGTGAGTCTGAACAATGTTGGGTCTTGCAGAACCTAGCTGCTATTCGACCCTAAAGGGTTTCTGGACCAGGCTCAAGGCTCAGAGGAGAGGAAATATCATCAAAAACTGCTGAAGACTCAGACTCATACTGATAACTGGTGAAAAGATAACTTGCTTATGTAAGCTACAAAAGTGCCAACATAAGGTAAGGTAAAAACAGTCTCTACAAGCCCAGCCAGAAATGAATCCCTACACCATGCTATTAATATTGAAGTTGTCTTGCATCATGCTTTGTAGTGTGCTTAGCGTCCTCGCCGTCGTGTGCCACTAGTGGCATACAGAAGACAAGGTGACGCACAGATCGATGGGAAGATGCTTGTGCATTTAACGCAAGTGTTGATTAAGATCAAGATACAAATGGTGATGGATTCAGTGTCCGAAACTATGAGACTTTACTGCAATGAAGTGGGAGGTGATACAAAGCTGTGGCGGAGATATTAATTGATACGGAGGACATGCTCAGGCTGTATGAGATAAAACAATGACAGTTGTTCTGGTTCATAAGTCAGGGGCAGGGGTTTTGGCTGCTGTCTGAATCGGCTTTTGCCGGGTTTTCCTATCCGTCGAAGTGACTCATGGCATCAGAGGACTGGTGAACAAATTAGAATGGCATCTCAAGCTAAAGGACGGAGCGATTTCCAAGGACCAATATGGTGTCGACACCATGTGTGCGCTCCACTTGAGCCCCTTGGAGGCTCCACTGAGCACCACCATCGAGCGCTCCAGATATTCTGAGATGAGTCTGTGTCCCTCTACTCTCCCTTTGACTATTTGATTTAATCTTCGCTTTTCCTTAATATGTTGACACGATTTTCACTCATTCAGTTATCACTCATTTTTCCATGTCTGTTATGTCTGATGAACACTACCAGCCTCGGACTCAAGATTTCGACTGTCTGAATTGATTATATGACAATAACCACCATCTCCTGGGCCACACTAGTGCACAATCACCCATTCTCATACCTTCACAGGGTCAGCTGCATCAAGGCTGGAATGCTGGACATTTGCATCACGGTAGGAGCTTTCAAAACAATACAGTAAGATTGAATACATTTTATTATGTTCAAAATCGTGCATATAACCACTCACAGCATACATTCACACAACTCCAAGACGAGAATATTCGTCTCCAGCTTATCAATGAAAATTTGAATCAACAAATGTTGACCATTACTGCATCTTGAGATGCCTATCAGTTTGTTTTCTCTCATTATCTTCAGCGACTTAACAAACCCCAAGCTCAGAGCTGCATTTGAAACTTTATCGCACTCGCTCTCATTGTCAGATGATATTTCATCGTATTCAGGCCCCAATGCACTACAGTACACTATCTCATAGTGTATAGCAACGGGAACTGCCCTTTCGCTATACAATATGAGATATATACAACACCAAATAATTCCCACGGCGCGGCGATGTGCACTGCTCGCAGAAATCAATACATTCAACAAGTACATCGAAATGGTATGTTACTTGGTATTCCAGAATTTGTCCAATGTAACCTGCTTCGCATTCTGCAACTCGTGCAATACATGCAGCCTCAAGCTTTTCACACAGCGGAATCAGTTCAGTAGCACAGACCTTGGGTTGATCATCCTCATCTTTGTCATCTGATTCCACTTCAACCAGCTCCCTGCTCCTAATTGCTTGCCAGCGCCAAATTTCTGCAACAATTGCATCATCATCTTCATAAGCAGTTACTTGTCCAATGTTTTTCTCTTCTTGAGGGTCAAGAATCTCGTCAACAGTCAGTGGTGTGCCAATGATACATCTCCGTGTTGTAAGTTCCTCCATGGACTCCATCAATTCATGTTCGAGAGTTTGGAGCTGAGGTGCCTTGGTGAGAGGCCAAATTTTGACAACCAGCCCAGTTCTTTGACATGCCGCTGATGCAAGTTTCTTGACAGCCTCGGCTGCTTTGACATTGTCACCCTCCACATCCATAACAGCTTTCAGGGCATCCATCCAGTCCTCCTCGACATAACGATTGCCAAGGTGTTCTTTCAAGCAAGCTTCGGCTTGAGGCAAGGCCATGGTATCAATATCTGCAAACTGGCATACAATTTTCCATGCACCTGGGTCTGCATGAGCAGGGTGAGATGAAGGTGCTGGAGAGTTGGCTTGGATTCCTGTGTGATTCCAGCAATGCTGAATGGTGGATGGCTCGACAGCATCCCATGCCTCTTGTGCCATGACCATGGCTTCTCGAAGATTTATTTTATAGATATCACGATTACCAGCTTCATCAAGTTCAATAGCGCGAAGACAGAATGCTCGACGATAATGAGCCTTGAAGCAATGGATGACTCCAGCATCGAGAGGTTGAATGAATGAAGTGAGATTTGGCTCGAAAAATTCGAGCTGGATGTGAAGTGGTTTGTATGTGACTTTGTGCCCAGAGAAATTGTCAACGAGAAGGCAGATGTAACGTTTTTGGATCCCCATCTCAACGTTGAGTGCCCTGATCCACCTTGGTTTTTTTTGTGTAAATATTTATGTGAATAATAGTGATATGGAGCACTGCTTACTCGTTGAACAATTCACTTGTCATCCATGCTTTCTTGTTGTTTCGATAGTAAAATCCAGCACTCTGTGGTGACTTGCTACCAAAGCATTGGGGCTTTTGGGAGTAACCGATGAAGAAAAGTGGAAGCTTCTCACTTCCATCTGCATTCGTCGCAAAACCAAGAGTCACCCTGAATTTCTCTTTTTTCTTCCCGCTCATTTGATGTGTAGCAAGGCCACGATCGGGAGGTGCCCTAATCCATAAGTTTAGTTTCTCTTCGAACTGAACACCCATGAGTGACTTACATAGCAAATAGACTTGATTCATCAAAGTTCCAACGGTCTCGCACTGGGAAAGTT